AAAAAAATTTATTAATATGTTCATTGCACAATTTGTGCATAGTATTCATGTGAAACTAAATGATATTCTTAAAGATTGTATAACAGAGAATCAAAATTTTTAAGTATACTTAAAATGTAAGTAATATTCTCAAATAATGTTGCTTTACCTACGTATATGATTTTAAAGTAAAGCGTATGTTGGCAAATCTAGAAGTTTACAGAATTTCTGGTTTGAAGATGTCTTCCATTGAATCAACAGAAATTAAGAGTATTTACTAAGATTTTATTTTTGTAATGATTTCTGAAAAGTCCTTTTTATAAAATCATTTAGGTGCTTTCTGTTTCCTTTTTTTCCCCAATTCTAAATTTCATATGTTAATTGGTTTTAGAAATACAGCTTTTTCAATTTGGGAATTGTTTATGTGAGCATATTTTATGAACACCATGTATTTTGTGTTCTACTTTTATGTTATTAAATTTAGTATTAAGGTTTAACTTAAAATGTTGAATGTGATGGAAGATTATTTCATTTTTTCTCAAACCATTTTAATGAAAGCTGTATTGTTATTTAATATGTTAGATACATTTATTGAAATCTGTGAATAGTTTTTTATATAATTGTGATCATGTAGTATATCTGATTTTGTACACCGTTTTGGTTTTTTTTTTTAGATTATATTTCTGATTTTTATTTGTTCCATGAAATATACTACTTTTAATGATTGCATAATAGTTCATTAGGTGAATATAGTGGGTAGGCGGTTAACACATTATGTCTTGTTGCACTTATGCTTAACACCCACTAAATGTCCATGGTACTTTTTGACTGAAATAGTTTCATTTTTATATTTTGCAGTGGATGATGTTGGGGAAAAATTGGAGCATATGGGGAACACACCATTAAAAATCGGCAGTGATGGTTCACAAGAAGATGTTAAAGAAGATGGATTTGGTTCAGAAGTAATAAAAGTGTATATATTTAAAGCTGAGGCTGAAGATGATGTTGAAATAGGTACAAAACTAATGATAGTTTATTGTTGTGATAGTCAAGAATTAGAACTTAGCTTTTTTGGAGACTATACTAAAATTGACTTAAAAGTACAGATTTTTTATAGGTTTCTTTGGGGATGGAATACAAAAAAAATTGTGTATGAATATAAAGCAGGAATGCAGAATATATCATACTTAGATTCTTTCAAACATGAGTAGAAAATTACAGTTGAAGTATTAAAATGAATGAGTGGAGAGGATTTAGTTTACAGTTGGAAATTATAATGAGTATTTAAGGGCAGGCTTGGATAGCCTGCTTGGATTTTAATCCTAGTTCTGCCATTTAGATGAGTGGCCTTTGGTGAGTTACTTAACCTCCTTCTGCCTCAGTTTTCTCATCCATAAAGTAACCATAATGATAGTAACTACCTCATAGTACTGTTGCAAAGATTAAATGGGTATATGCATGTAAAGGACTTATAGAATGCTTGTCATATAAGTGTGATGTATTAACATTTGTTAGTGACAACTGAACAATTAAACTAAATTATAAGAATTTTTTTGACACTTAGAAATTTATATTGGAATATTTTGGGAGAATATTTTTCTAAAGAAAAATATTTCTTATATATTCTCCTTATTAATTTAAGAAATTATTCCATGATATTTCTCTATTTTGATATGTGTTTTAATTTTTAAGGTGGAACAGAAATTGTCACAGAGAGTGAGTACACCAATGGACATTCTGTAGCTGGAGTGCTTGACCAGAGCCGAATGCAACGGGAGAAGATGGTTTACATGGCAGTTAAAGATTCTTCTCAAGAAGAAGATGATATCAGTAAGAAAAAAGGGCACTGGATTGGCTTATTAGTAGCCATTATGTATTCTTTTAAAAAATAAACCATTCTCAGAGATACAAGCTCTATATAAGAACGGAGGTCACTAAAATAAGCTTGACCCTTTACTATAATTAATTTAAAAGAGAAGGGTCCTTTTAACCATTCATGCATACATGTATTGTTCAAATCAGCAAACATGAAATACTGTGTCCAGATAACCAAGGATACAGAGATCAGCAACATACTGTTGTCGACTTCAGTAGAGCCCACAAAGGTACAGGGAATTATTGGGAATCTACTTTCTGTATGTTAGTAGATATTTCATGTGTATATTATCTCATTTAATTCTTATGCTTCATCTCTGAAGTAGGTGATATTATCCCTGTTTTATACAGGAAAAAAATGCTCAGAGAAGTTCAGTATTTACCCAAGATCATTCCAATATTAAGTGAGGAAGTTAGGATTTGAACTTCTACCTATCCCACTCTACTGCCAGTGTTCTTTCCACATGGCAATTAGCACTGTCGGCCTCTCTCTGAGTTTAGCAGTGGAAATGCAAACTGTTAGCCTACTCTCCCTGAGGCATTAGTTGAGTAAGTATTTTTCCAAGTCAAACTGCCAGGATCTTTACTTATGATGCCGTTGATGGTCTCCAAGTAGCTGCTGCTTAAAGCTTCTCAGGGCTGAGTACCACAGAGTGATAAAAGATCCTCAGATTTCCTTTCCTGGCATTTCCTTGTGAAGACAGTTTGCTTTCTGCCTACTTTCTCCTCACTTCTTTAGGAATGCAGCCCTTCCCTAAGGTTTCTTCTTTTTGCCATGCTGAGACAAAAACTACTTTGTTTTGCCCTAGAAAGGCAAGAGCTTCTACTTACGTGCATTACCTTTACAGTACCCATCTTTACTTCTAGTGCATTTTGATCCCCACTCCTCAAATTTCCTTCCCTTAGAAGCCATGGGAAACTGAATTCCAATCCCAAACATGAATAATATACTGCACCTGAAAATATCAAAACAATTTATTCTAGAGGATTTGATCGGAGAGGTAGAGTTAAATGAAATAATTTCTATTTGGTCTCTAGATTCTTTATTTTTATTTTTTCATCATTGGTAAGTAAAGGGGCACAGTAGAAGGTGGGAGACGGAGACTTATGTTACCTGATTCAAGAATCCCATGGGGATGTGTATAACTTAGACCAGCGACTCTTTCTGGTTGATTGAAAGAATGGAAACTGAGAAGAGGAGGAGCACTTTTTCCCCATATTTTTTTTGCATCTTTCTTCCATAATGATTAGAAGATCCCATTTTGTGAATGAAAGGAAAAGCATAAATCCAAGGCAATTTTCTATTTAACAGGTTAAATTTAAATGGATTATTTCACCTGAAATGTATTAATTGACCCTCTTAGTCTAAATTTTTTACATCAGTGCTATGTATATATATATATTTTTAGTACT